TGGAGTTACAGATGGTTGTTTGATGCCTTGTGGGTGTTGGGATTCAAACGGGTCTGGATCTTCTGCAAGAACAGCCAGTGCTCTAACCACTGAGAACTCTCTCCAGCCTCAACCCTATTCTTAAATAAATGACTATTGACAGTTTGATATAAGAAAATATAGAAGAATTTTTATGGGGCTGGAGAGATGGCTGAGTGGTTAAGAGCACCGACTGCTCTTGCAGAGGACCCAGGTTTGATTCCCAGAACCCACGTGGTGGCTAAGAACCGTCCTTAACTACAGGTCCAGGGGAATCCGAATCCCTCTTCTGACTTCCACAGCTTTGCACGACATGGGTGCAATCACATATATGCAGGCAATACACTCATACGCATAAAATAAAAAAATAAAATATTAAAAAGAGAAAATATAGAAGAATTTTTCTTAGGGAAAATAAATCGTAATTCGCTTTGTGAAGATAAAGATTAGGGGCGCTTAGTTGGCTTAGTCAGTAAAATCATGTGCATGCCACTTTGATAGCCAGAGTTTGATTCCTGGCTGTCATGGAGGAAAGAGTGAGCCAACTCCTGGCCTCGTGCTCTATCCTCCACCTGCACAGTGTGGCATATATGTGAATAATAATAATAACAATATAATCAACCGCATTAAAATTAGAAAGAAAATATAAAAGACAAGTGAGAGTTTGATGCATGATACATTTCTATATATGGCATGTTTACATACATATTGGTCTTTTAGCCAGGTTTTTTTAAAACCTGTGCAAAGAAACTGCAATGCCTTCCTGGCTTGCTGCTCTGTCCTTTCTAATGTCTGTTTTGTGTGGAATTCAAACATCTACTTAGGGATGAACCCTCTCCACAAACCAGAAGAAATGTCTGTGCTTTGTCTGGCATTTATTTCCAGTGCTTGGATAGGATATGGGTAAAGAAAGCACTGGTGACGGACTTTAAAACCCCACCTCACAGCACCCTGTTGCATAGCTATTCAACTTTAGCATATCTATGAACTGTTTCTCTATACATATTCCTTTTTAGTAGTAAAGCCTTTATAAAACTATAGCCTTGAAATGCCAGGTCTTTATTATGGGAATCAAAACAGATATGAGCACACTCTCACTAAAGTTGGTTAGCAAACACAGAAAGGGCTTTCCACAGATAAAACTAATTTTTATTTGTAGCTTCAAATTCAACATAATTCTTTTCATCAAAAATGACAGTTCTCACCTTTGTGTCATTTGATCTATCTTTTAGAATGCCACTCAGTATTTACAGTCTTATGTTAGCGACTCCGTATCTGCGTTCCACAGTAAATCAGAGCCTCACAACAGGAAAATTTCCATTTTATAAATCTTTAGAAGTTCACCTTAACATATTCTCTAATTTTCAGAACTTTATGTATTTGTGACCTTTCCATAAGAAGGAAAATTACCTGCAAGCAATACACATATAAACAAAAATATAAAATAATAAAATATTAAAAAAGGAAACAAAGTTGCTTATATGAAATGCATAAAAAGCAAGAGAATATGAAAAATAGGTATGAAAGAATAGCAGGTAAGCAAGTCACTTGATTTGTATAATATGGAAGCAAGAGTTTGGATTGTCTAAAAATGTGATTTTCAACAAAGCATCTCCCTATATATATCATGACTGATTCGTTATGACATAAATCTAATGGATCCTACCTCACTAATTTTAAAAGTAATAAAAAATAAACATGAGACACTGTTAAAATCCATGTTACCCAGAATTTTGTTTTGCATCTCATTCAGAGTCACAAAGTGTTAGTTTCTGTATTGTTTTTTTAACTCCACTGATTTTTTTCTTTTCTTTTTTTTTCTTTTTCTTTTTTTTTCCGAGACAGAGTCTCCCTGGAGCCTCAGCTGTCTTGGAACTTGCTATGTAGACCAGGCTGGCTTCAGTCTCAATGAGATTCTCTTGCTTCTGCCTCCCAAGCGCTGGGATTAAAGGCATAAGCCTGCACACTTGGCAACTCCATGAATTTTTTTTTTAGTCAATCCAAAAGGGAAACTCTACCTTTCATAATTTATAACAACTGTGAGGAAAAAACAGAGAAAAGGCTGAGATTTTTGTATATAAAAGCATTGCATTGTTATTTGCTGCTGCTCTTCCTTATCAGGTAAAATTGTTTCAGAATGTAAGGTGTGGTTAAACCACTCTTCCCTCAAAAACACAAGCTTGACATCATAATTCATCTTTCCTCACTCTCCACAGCAGATCTTTGTAGTAAGTGCTACTAAGTATGTGTGATACACCTATGCTGTTCTAAATATGCATTACTTAGTTATGAACTCACTATAACCACCTAGCTAGCCTCCCTCATTTCTATTACAAACTATGTAGTAAAGCAGAACTTCTTTTCCTTAAAATTCATTTATTTTCTCCCATTGCATAAAAAACTTCAAATATTGGCATGACTCCAACTTATTACTTTGTAAAGTTTTCATAATCACATTTCCATTTCATAGTATATAAAATACTCCATTAAGCACCTTTTTCCTTGCAAGAATCAAAATATTGTTTCTTTTCCCAATTAAATTCTGCATTTGTGATTTGATATCCCAGCATATTCGTACTGCTAATGTTTCTGTATCCTTCTGCACTCTGTGAAGACTTGGTCAAGGGCCAACTTCTGAACTGACTTCTCTTCCGACTCCATTCATAAAGGTAACATTCATGGTTTATATGCCATTCGACTTTTACCTCCCAGTCAGCTTATAAAGATGTTCAGTCTTTGATTATTTTTGTTGTTTAGATGTTTAGCCTTACATACTTTTTCAAAATTATCTTATTTTGAGTCAGGATGTGTCTTGTGCAGTGATTACTGAAAGTTTTTAGTCATTGTCAAAGAACTGGTTTTGCAGCCAACAAAATAATATATTAACATATTTAATATGTTATATATTTATCTGGATATTTGTTACTAAATACTTAAAAATTCTATTACCTGGACACATTATACACCTGAAATATTAACTAGTTTCAACTTCTCCAAATAGTTGGCATGGCTTGCCTCCTTACACCCTAAAAATGGCTTAAAGCAGTTTAATCATTGCAGTCATGATTGAAATTTCTATTGTCTAATGATAATTGATTTAAGAATAAAACACTTTTCTTGTAAAATAAAATTTCTTTTTTAATTTGAAAGCCTTGTTAAGTAGGTTGTACTGTATTGGAACTTTTGAAAATTCTGTCTAAATAATAGCTTTCTTTTATTCAATTTCTTTTCCTTATAATAGTATCGCCACTAATATATAAGGACTGAAAAACCTTCCTACATAGAAATTCCAGAATGTCAAATGTATTCACCAGTATCTATTACAATTTTCCCTTAAAACGTTATCAGTTAGCCATTATTAGGTATTATGACATGATATTTTGAGATTTAGATGTTAAAATCGAAGAAAAGGGCTAAGAAACTTGCAAGAAGCTATCTTTGTTCTGTCCTCTATAGGAGTCATGTTGTACAAACTTTGGTTCTTCAACTGTTTTGTTGACAATGTAAACAGACAGATATGGGATAACTGCTATTTGGCACACACTATATTGTGAACCTAACTAAAACAATACAGGAACTTCACAGCCTAACAAGAGATACTCAATATATACCAATTTCATATCTAAAATGCATGACTTTATAAAGTTCTGATGTTGGGGAGAAGGAGGATATTTCAGTAACAAGCAAAATTCAGCTAAACTGTGCACAGAGAAAAATGGAAAATTAACACTTTCTCTCAATGTATTAATATGATTTTCACAAACAGAGAAAGGAGATACAGAGATTTTTTAAAATTAAGGGAAAATTATAAAGGTAATCTCTCTCAAAGTCTAATAAGAGTGATTTAAGAAGGAAGAAAAAAATCAATACATTATGTGGGATAGAATTAAAGGGGCAGTAGGATAACGTAGTAGGTAGTCCACTGTTATTAGGATCACACTATGAAGATGATTTTTGTGCAGTCATCAGGGTATTGGTTTTGCAGGCAGTATGGAGCTGCAAGTGTGGTATATTTGGATGAGTGGCACAGTTAATGAGGTACATTTTGTTCAAATTCTACAGTCAATGGGAAAAAAGTGACTGGAGTGGGTAGGAAAATAGATGGAGTCAAAGGAGATGAGTTAACACGTTAGTTAAGGACAGGATGAAAAGACCAAGAAGAGATGTTGTCAGAAATGACAAAGGAATGGATCAGACACTGGAAGGTGGACCCAGCCTGGCTTCAACATGCTGTGAACAAGAAGAGATTTAAGAAAAATTTCAGCTATTCAGTTTGGGGAAATAAGGTTAAATGGGAAAAGGCCTTGTAATATGGCAGCCTGTGGTGTTATAGTGCCGTTTCCAAGCACTGCGGAGAACAAAGCTGGCGGTAGCAGACATGGAGGTTGCGTTCTATGGTTCTCTACAGGGTTTATAGACATGTAAGTCAAAAAAGTCTGGGCAAACCTGCTGTGCACTCTTTTACAAATTATTTCATAAGGTAAAATGGCTATGTAAAGTAACATTACAAGCACATGTAATGGCATCTGTTTTTCATACTTGAAATATTTTTACCTAACAGGCAGAATTCAAGTTTCATCAAGTAGTTTAATCATGTGGAATACAAGTAAGAAATCAAATCTTATTTTAAGATTAATTATTACATGAGAGGAAAAACTGAGTAACAAATTCAAACTACGGTTTCTCTCAGCTTTCCACAGTTATGAGTTTATATTACTTACGATGTATTTCATTGGGAACAGCAAGAGAGAAGATGGCTCCTTTTACCTCCTGACAGGGCAGAAGCAAATCCTTCCAACCTTCCAAACCCTTCTGCTTCAGTACTCATTAGTGACTGCAATTAGCAGAAACTAGTCATTGAGTGCTTTGATTGACATGTGTTTATTTTCTCTCCCACACACTGTGTGATCACAGCATGAGAGTAATGACAGAAGAGCTGTAATTTGCAACTCTGAATAGCCATCTATTATCCGCATACTTACAACTGGACCTGGGGGGCCCTGGGGACCTTCTCCTCCTTTCAGTCCAGGTGCACCCTGGGAAAAATGAAAAAGAAATAAAAATGAACCCATATGAATTGAATAGACATAGGAGATAAATACCTGATGAAAAGAAGATGACAAGAAGTTTTGGTTTTTGTTTTTTTTTTCCCACAAACATACAGGAATATACCCATATAGAATAATAATGAAACATATAGGTTCCTATGTGGCTCCATAATTATTCATGACCCAATGGCTAAGCTCTGAGAAAAACACTTGTAAGCAGAAATTTCCTTCACAGGCTTTGCCTACATGTTGATTTACCTGAGCTCCAGGAAGACCTCTTTCACCTGGGAAACCACGTATTCCTGCTGGTCCATCTTTCCCTGAGATACCTTGAGGACCTGGGTCACCCTAAGAAATACAATACACATCATAAGTAAAATGTAATTGCTTTACAGTGTCTATGACAAAACTGGGATTACCTTTAATTTTTAATTAAGGAAAACTTGTAAGTAAAACTTGAATGTCATTTAATTTAAAGGTTGTTGCAGAAACTGCCATAGATATTAAAATAAAATGATATTTACATGTAAGATTATATAAATTGGTAACATTATGGTCCATTGTTTCATTATTCAGTAATGTCTAAAAATATAATAACCTCACATGAAATATCTTCATGATGTATTGTTCTGACATTTGATATGAAAATGTACATAGACTCTGTGCACACATGATGACAACTACAGTGAACACGGATGCCTTTAGAGAGTGGAATCCATGAGCATGTTGTACCTTTGCGCCTTCTTTTCCAGCAGCACCAGGAAGACCTTGCTCCCCGGGAGGGCCGGGAGGGCCAGGGTGGCCCCGTTCACCTATTGGACCAGTCTCACCAGTCGGTCCCTAAATTAGACAAGTAAAACCACATTAGATTCTCCTTTTATGTTTGGCAAATCAATAGAGTACAAACTCAAATAGCACAGTTTTTAACAAAACTTGATTATTCTACTTTATTTTTATAATTACCTTCAAAACACTTATAAACTTATTCAATGCAGGTAGCATATCTGGCAACAGTTTAAAAGTCTGGAATGTAGTCTTGGTTTTAATAGCCAAATGTACCAAGAAAATGCGGAAAGAGTAAAAGGATGATTTCTTTGTCAGATACCAGAATAGATTCAGAAGGAGGATAGCCAAAGCATTGTTTGAAACTGTGCTTCATTAACTGCAATTTCATCTCATTCCTTTTTTTATATAAGGTGTCAAACCAGTTTTAGAATAAAGAGGCACTGGTGCACACTGGTGCACACGCAATGAATCAAGGCTTGATAATATGTCATAGTCCCTGAAACCCCAAACAACTGAAACGGGTCTCTTTGGAATTTCTCTGTCTTGGGAAGTGTGGCCAGGGAATCCTGGAGTCCATGATTTTGGGCCTGTATTTCCTCCAGGCTTGACTGTACCAAACTCAGCTGCTTTAAGTTACAGCAAATGTCAAAGTGAAAAATGTCAGGCCATCCACGTGTTCCCTGCGGGGTGCTGTTTGTGGTGCTGGCATAGAATACACTTCCAAGTGTGAATAAGGAATGGTGACCAATTGCTTCGTATCGCTAAAGCAAAATGAAAGATTTGAGTTAAAGATATATAAAGGGAAAAACTGCAGATGCTGAAATCATTGAACAATGGAATGCATTGCTCAAGTTGCTTGTGAAATGTCATCCCCTGCAATTTACCTAAAAAGGCAATATGTTTGTAGGTTTTGGACTCGGGTAAAACGAACAGGTGTCCCCAATTTGGCATGCATTTCTAAGTTTAAATTTCCTGTCTCTGTATTTACTGAAACTCTTTATCTTATCATTAATGTGCAAACATTCTCCCCAAAAGGGATTCTTTTGTAGATATGTATCAGAATTTTAACAGCAAAGGATATAAAACTGATACTCATTGAATAGATAGCACCACAAACACAAAAATGAGCAGAAATTCCGATATCTGTACAAAGAACAATTTCAATATAAAAACCTGCCATTTCCATGCTCGCTTTATATCACTTCCTATGTCTGAACAGAGAAACATGCTGACATTTAAAAGACGTAGCTGGGTTTTCTTTAAGCAATACAGCTGAATTTTATTTTATTTTATTTTTTTCTGTCTTTCAAGGAACTGTAAAGGGAAAATTCTCAAGGATGATGTATAGTCAGTACAACATCTGTAATTATGTGCGTGGAACACAAAAAACATCTCAGAATTTCAGATTTCTGTATTTGGAGAAATGAATTTTCTAAAGGTGTGATGTCCTGAAATATTCAGTGATGTCCTGAAATATTCAGTCGAGCCCAACGATGTTTAAAAGAATGTAGCTCAGTTTCTACTCAAAGGTATTTACAAAAGCTCATTTATTTCTGCTTAATATTTTTCACAGAAAATGGTTACACATTTTAATGAAAAATAAAATTATTATAGAAAACTAATTTTCCATTATATATAATATTTTGAAATCTAAATGATTACATCTAATTATAAAAACAATTTAACCTATAAGCCTCCAAAAATTCTCATTTTGCATACATGAATTATATACTTCCTTTATAAAAAAAATCCTCATTAATTTATAATGTCCTTAGATTTAGAATTGTTTTATGAAATAAAATGATCAATCAAAGGGTTATTTACTTTTTGTTCCTAACACACACACACACACACACACACACATACACAAAATTCTAGAAGATGATGTAGTTTTTGCTCCCCTGAAGGTGGTTTTATTTTTGAATGTACATTTTGTGTGAGTTTGTCACTGTTGAAAACCATAGGCAAGAAAAAACAGAACAAAACAAACAAACAAAAAAACACTATTTGAAGCCTTCATATGATTAAAACACTCAAAGTGCACTTGCTCTCTTACTCTGAATTGTTATTGGCACAGGTAATATTCCAAGTAAACAAAGTCAAATGTTCTGTCCAGTCAACAGGTTTTTCCAAGAAATAAAGATGTTACTTTCTTATTCCCATGATTTATTAGCTGTAGCTATGCAATACCGCAGTTTAGGATACTGCATCAGCACTAGAGCCTGCCTGCTCCCCATGGGAAGATATTTGTTTCTGCCAATGTTTCACATGTACTCAAAAAAGACAAAGTAATAAATGGTTATGTAGACAAAAACCATTAAAATATAGAATATTGCCAATGTTAAAAAGTTCAAATGTGGAGGTATTTATTTGGAACTTTCTCTTGTACTTCTGTTATCTTACAATTCTAGGTCTAGATATAATTTACTAAAAGAGCTATATATCTTTGTGTAATTTTCAATTCTGGGTGATTAGCTTATTCAATTATGCATCTTGGATTTTCAAAATAACAGATATACCAAACTGAGGTAATGTCATGGTTTAGTTTTAACTTGTGAACTTTTGGATTCACTTCTGTTATTATTCTTTGTTTTGTTTGTTTGAGTACTGGCAATGTAAAAAAAATGCTTTATTTAATTAGGGAATAGTTTTCTTAATGGAATTTGATGTTAGCAATCTTCACATGTTCAAATATGAGTTGAAATTTTAAAATATAACATTATGGGTCTGGAGAGATGGCTCTGTGGTTAATAGCACTTGCTGCTCTTGCAGAGAACACAGGTTCAGCCTCCAGCACAGTGGCTACCTGGAATCCCTAAGTACAGTTTCAGGGGACCTGATACCCTCTTCTGGCCTATGAAGACATTGCATGCACAGGTGCACTTACATACATGCAGGCAAAACATTCATGCACATGAAAACAAACAAACAAACAAATATATATAACATTCTGAAGCCAGGCATGGTAACACTTGCCCATGATTTCAGCACTTGAGAGATAGAAAGAAAAGGATCAGGAATTCAAGGTCATAGGTATACAGTAAGTTCAAGGCTATCTTGGGCTATATGAACCTTGCCTTAATAAATCAAAGTAGAAATAACAATAACAACAATAATAAACTGTTTTATTAAATAGATAAAAACATGTAATCCACTTTACTAAGGTAAAAATGTGAGGAAAAACAAAATTTGCTAGAAAAATAAAGGCACATACCTGTGGTCCAACCACTCCTCCTGGCCCAGGGGGACCGGTCTTGCCTTGAAATCCCTAAGTAAACAAAGTATAATCTATAATATCTATGGACAGAGCCAATCCAAAATTAACATTCTGTGAGATAAATGAATGACATGCTAAGAAAGAGAAAGTCTCATTTTGACTAAAAATACTGCCTATAAGACAACATTGGCTCTTTTCAGCATTGAAAAGATTTTATTCCCATTATTTCACATTACAATGAAAGAATTATTTTTAATAAAAATTAAGTTAGATTATAAGATGAAGCTAGAGTAAAATTGTATTCTTATTTTTCTACCAAGCCCAACATCACAAGGAATTTTAACCTAACAATGTGTATCGGTGATATAACAAATGATCTACACAGTTCTTGGAATATTGAACTGATTCAATACATGTAACAAAATTTGTAACAATCTCATAAAATGAAACAAGCTATACAATTATATGTAAAGTTAATATTTTCAATGATTTGTAATCTTTCCACTCTTTATCATTTCTTTCTTAGAACCCAAATAAATAGTTACAAATACACTTTGCAAATAATTCAACAAATAAAAGCTAAATTGGTTGAAATGGGTAATTCATAATCACTGATTTAGGCTCTGCTAACACGATCTGGAATCTAGGCCCATGAATTAGTTCTCCAATGTGATTTTATTGTGATAGATTTATTTCTCAAATGAGGTAATTTACATTTAACAGTTGGAGAAAAAGATGGAAAATACTGAGGGAAAAATATCTTTCAAATAACAAATTAAAGCAATCAATGTTTAATGGTACAGTGTGTAAATAGGTTGGAAGTAATAAGATTATTGGGAAACAAATAGAAGCTGTTCATTCTGTGTTTTCATCAGACCATTCTATAAGAATATGATTTAATTATGTACAACAAAAAGAAAATAATCTGAACTTTTAATTATTGTAGTTGAAATTACAAGAAAAATATAAATATATCTCCAATTTTTAAATTTGATTTTAGACCACCAGACCTCTACTTGAGCTAGCAAAGCAAGTTTTTTCACAAAATTTGTTTAGTATTTTCTAATTTTAACTTTTAAGCAAATGGTGTATTTGAAAATCTGTAATCAGGCTACATACTTACATACAGACATATAAATACATGTACATTTATGTATGTGTATATGTTTAAAGTAAGCACATATACACATACTTGTTACTTCCTGGATTATGGCAATAATTACTGCAATTCTTACCTTTGGTAAACTTTCAGAGCTACCCCAAACTATTTATAAACTTCTTATCTGTCCTGAACCTTAAGTATCTCAATCAGCCAACTAGACATTTCTAATAGTACCTGGGGCTCTCTCTGCATCTATGTGGAGAATACTGACTGATTTTCTCTAGTGTTTTTCATTCTGGGTCCTCTCCTTTACCAACAAAGTGACTTCAGATCCAAAGATTTCCTCAGTTTTCATACCCAGTCATTCAATTCTAGTGTGCCACGTAAGACTCTTTTCAAGATACAGTCTCTTTCTCTGCTGCCCTGGTAGACATGTGTCATTCAAGCTGTAAACAGTTCTGTCCTTAAGAACTACAGATTTTAAGAGCAGGTTCTCTCACTTGTCCACATTACCCAGAACCATCTTACAGTCTATAATAAATTCATTTACATATGTATATCAGCCACATCATTGATAAACTTTGTCCAGTATTAACCCAGCCTGCCAGGCAAATGACCTTTTATGGGAAACAGATCTAGGTTTGAGCCCTGCTGATCTTGCCTCTGTCTTAAAGAGCAACATGTTGCCTATTTGCTGGACTGTTCCTTAGGTCTAGATTAACTTCTCCAAACTTTTGATATGCTATATTTGAAGGCAAAGTGCATTTTTGACCTTTAAAAAATGAAAATTTAAAAAGATTTTGTCTTATTAGCTATGAATCTGAGTAGCACACAAAAATGATTAAAATAACAGCTGATTAAAACTAATTGATTAAAGCCAGTGTTCTACTGAGGAAAAACTGGAGAACTGAAACCTCACATTACAAGTAGCCACTTGGCTACAAGCCCAATTTTAGAGGTGACAGGCTTGGGGAGAGCTGGATGAGAACACTGTCTCTAAGTCTACTCATGCAACACAGACTATGTGAAAATATCAAATGAATTTGATACCAAGGTTCATACTATTGAAATAAAAATAAATTGCTTACAGTTCAGAGTGGAATTTGGTAGTTCATATTGCTATAAGACTGAATTTATTGTTTAATTTTAAAATAATTTAAATGAATTTAATGTTTTCAAACATCTCTGAGAATAAAACATTGGATACTTGAAGAATCTTCTACAATATCCAACAAAATGTAATTTCTATGCTGACAATATCAAAGAAACTAAATTCATTATATAATCAATACTGGATTTGGCAGTATCTCTAACACGAATCTGTTATTTCCAAACAATAGAACCTATTTGTAATTTTTTTAGGTGACCCAGAGTAAGGTTTCCAAACATAAAACTTCAAAATGAATTTTGAAGGATTTCTGATTAGAGATAAATTTAAAACATAACAAAATAATTTCTTCTTGAAATAAGACACATGCAGCAAAGCATAACAGTCTAATTTCTGACTCTTGTTCAAGAAAATCTTTTTAATTACAGTCAGCCCAGAGCAAGTTGAGAAATAACTGTTAGTTCCTGGTCACAGGATTACCCATTGTTCCCTTAAAGTATAAAACAAATCACGAATACAATTTTCAAGAAATAATTCTTGTCTTTGTCTATGAGAAATGAATAGATAGAAACCTCCAGGAAGCATCGGTTAATTTGTTCTTTTCCTTCAAGGTTTAAGCTTAAATGTTTTATATCATACGGTTACTTTGCAAAAAAACATCCACTTTGGATTAAATTAATACCTATGTCACATTTTTCTTTTCCCAAGGCTCAGGGATCATTTTGGGAGAGGGGGTGGAAAATTTTAAGAGCCAGAGGAAGTGGTTGAATATAAGGAAACCATGTGGTCTGGACACCATAAGGTAGTTGCTCATATGAAACCACAGTGCTTGTGACAGCATGTGCAAGACTGTGCAAACCGAAGCCAGAGGAAATCCCAGCATAGAAGAGAAAGTGGTGACAGGTATGCACAAAGTCCCAGATTTAGCTGAGGATCTATTAGCAATTGAGAGCTGTTGGGAGAGGAAGAGTCAGTTTTCTTTAAGGTGTGATGCCTGGTAGGTCACCCAGATCCAAGGGACAGATCCACACTCAAGAGCATTTGGGGAACATAGATTATTCTTGATAGAGAATTATCTCTATGATAGAGATTACTCTTATGAAAGAAAAATAAGTTAGCCTGGGATAGTCTGCATCTAAGTTTCAGGTTAGCTGGGGCAAACGAGAGAGAGAGAGAGAGAGAGAGAGAGAGAGAGAGAGAGAGAGAGAGAGAGAGAGAGAGAAAGAGCGCAGAGCACACAAATCTCTCAATAGATATAAAGAAAGAAAGAAAGAAAGAAAGAAAGAAAGAAAGAAAGAAAGAAAGAAAAAATAATAGAGTAACAGAGGGCATGAAGACAGGTGGGTGATACGGTAGAGTGAAATGCGGAGGGGTCTGAAAGTGATCAAAATACGAATCAATAATTTTTAAAAATAAAAAACCAGAAGTTGCGGGGGGGGGGGGGCGTACGCCTTTATCCCAGCACTTGGGAGGCAGAGGCAGGCAGATCTCTGTAAATTCAAGGCCAGCCTGATCTACATAGCGAGTTCCAGTTCAGCTGGGCTACAGGGAGACCCTGTCTCAAAAAGACCAAAAAAAAAAAAA